AATGGTTTCATTGAAGGAAAATTCCACGTGGACTCTAGAGGTATTGCCTGCAGACCGTAAACCTATAACCAATCGTTGGGTATACCGAATAAAACGGGACGCTGATGATAATATTAATCGTTATAAAGCTCGATTAGTCGTTCGCGGTTTCAGCCAGCGAGAGGGGCTTGATTACAATGAAACATTTAGCCCAGTCGCGCGCTTTGACACAATTCGTTCGGTGCTGAGCATAGCGGCCAATGAACATTTGAAATTAGCACAATTTGATGTTAAGACGGCCTTCCTCAACGGTGTAATTGAAGAGAAAATTTACATGATGCAGCCTGAGGGATTTGACGATAACAGCGGACGTGTATGTAAACTCCAGAAAAGCTTGTACGGCTTGAAGCAGTTGCCAAGGTGCTGGAATCAACGATTCAGGCAGATGTTGCTTGACTTTGAACTAAGTGAAAGTACAGCAGACTCTTGTTTATTCTATCGCAATACTGAAGATGACAAACTTATAATGGTATTGTACGTAGATGATGGGATAGTCGCAGCTAAGAAGACTCCAACCATTAATAAATTCCTGAAGAAGCTGGAAATGGAGTTTCAAATAACTTCTGGACCACTGGAGTACTTCTTGAACGTGCTGATCGAACGCGACCGTACCGGTTCGATTTTTATAAGTCAGAAAACATATGCAGAAGGCGTGATCCAGCAGTTCAACATGGAAGATGCAAAAACCGTGTCAACACCAATCGAGAGAGGTACCTTGTCGGAGGAAGTAGCAGGAACTAAGCTGACAGCGGCTCCATATAGAGAGGCAGTGGGCTGCTTGATGTACTTGGCAGTTGCCACGCGTCCTGATATCACCTATGCCGTAAACTATGCATCACAGTTCCTTGAAAAGCCAGAGGAGAGACATTGGGCCATGGTTAAACGAATCCTGAAATACCTTAAGGGTACAGCTGGAATGGGCATTCGATACGATGCCAAAGGAGACGCACATCAACTGGAGGGCTACAGCGATGCGGACTATGCAAGCGACCCCAGCTCACGCAGATCAGTTAGCGGAATCCTGTTCAAATACAGCGGTGGAGCAATCACCTGGGCAAGCAAGCGGCAACAAAGTGTGTCCCTTTCGACGCTGGAATCCGAGTATATTGCCGCGAGTGAAGGTGCCAAAGAAGCTGTATGGCTTGATCGACTGTTTAATAAGATAGCACCATTGAAAACTGTACCTGTGTTATTAGTTGATAATGCTGGAGCCATTAAATTGTCAAAGAACCCTAGCTTTCATAAAAGATCAAAGCACATTGACGTGCGTTACCATTTTGTACGTGAGCGCATTCAAGAAGGTCAATTAGTATTAAAATATGTTCCTAGTGAGAAACAAGCAGCTGACATTCTGACTAAGCCAATTCCGCGTGTTCAGTTTGAAAAGTTGCGTTGTAGGTATGTTGGGTATGTCATAAAGAAGGGGGTTTGTAAAATGTAACATGCAAGTCATGAATCTGAAAGAGAGTGTTTAATTATGTTATGTACTATAATTCATGCATTATTTGTTTATTGGTTCATTTATTTGATAAAAGTTTACTAATGCAAAGTTTTAGGGGAAGTGTTGTAGTATGTAAAACATTTCCATTGTTAATTTTCTTTTTCGTGTATTGACACCACTGAGCAGATCTTTTGTACCTAAGTTGCCTAACCTGCTACGTTACAGTATGTTACTCTAGTCTCTTTTGTCCGCTCGCTCACATCGGACGTTTTCGCCACGATATCTGTAGAGTGTAACCTTACGTTAATTAAACGTTAATTGCTGGATAAAGCATATTAATGTTTGTCTATTATTTGGGGTAAGACCACGTAAACATTAACAGAAACTTTGCAAACGAAAATAGAATTTGTTCAAAACGCGTAGGGGCAATTCGAAAGGATACAGGATCAAATCGAAATATTAGACGAGAACGATGACGAGCGAAAGGACATTGAGGATCGGTATTGTTCGATTATCGGTCGCGTGCGAGCGCTTGTACACGCGGTCCAACGTCCTTGCGGAGGGGTCGTCAACAACGACGTTAACAATGTGTCACGTCCAGCGCACATTTTTCGCTGACGTGGTTAGTAACAGTAGTAATTGCCCACCCGATAGGTATCACCGGCGCGGCGCGGCTACTAGCACGCGCGCAACACGTGATTTGCAGATATTCGCTCTCCTTCTTTTCCAAGTTTAATGATAGAATTAAGCGATTAATTGACGATAGCCGAGGCAGCCACTATAACAGACGAATCCTTGGCGCCTCCGCTTTCGTCCCAAATTAATAACAAGTTAAAAATAACGAATAATAAGCTAACATCGACGATTTCCGTGGAAGGAGTGAACTCCACGGGAACCGTCGATCACAGCCGCGTGCGAGGGCGCTGTGCGCCTCCACCGGTAGCCACGATGGCAATCAGGACCAGTAAAAATCGCTGTAAATGAGAGGAATATAGCATTTATAGAAATTCCGGCGAAGCTTCTAGAAGGTTCGATGCCTACGTGACTCGACGCGATATAGCGGAACTCTAGGGAGAAAAACAAGGGATCGGTATGCGGATTAATTAATCGGCGGCGCGCGGCAAATTCAAAGTTTGAAAAACGGCATAAGGATGAACGGAGGCCCTTTGCCAGGGTGACCAGAGCTCAAATTGTTTAGAGCACCGGAAGGTGCCATAATTAGCACTTTAAAGGAAAATTCCGAAGGGCCCCCGCTCATCACCACTTCCGCACTTGCCCTACAACCTAACAGTATATAAGCGGGCCGTCGGAGCCCCGAATTCGTAGTACGTTTTCCAACGTTCAGCAGGCCAAAGCTCTGCCCGAGAGACAAGCCTCAGAGATAGGAAATAAGTACGAACGGCAAAAGCTCTGCCCGGCTATACACCGGCATTATTCTCTGCCTGTAAAAGAGAGACGGAGTAAGTGAAAGTGTGATCACCGGAGTGAAAGTAAGTGGATTAGTACAGTGATTCCTAACCACCATTTATTATCCTGCCCCGTCGAGGTAATAATTAATTATTGTCCGCGGAATACCTTGTTGTCCGGTAGTGATACTCTGCCCCCGCCTCCTTCGGCGACGAAAACTGTGATACCTCTACCTTTTGGTTGCGCGCTCTCCACAGGGCGTTCTTCCGATCTTGCCTCCACCTCTCGGATGCGCGCTCGCTGCCGGGCGTTCTTCCAATCCGTCTACCACCTTGGATGCGCGCTCTCCACAGGGCGTTCTTCCAATCCGTCTACCTCCTTGGATGCGCGCTCTCCGCAGGGCGTTCTTCTGAGCTTCCTCCACCTTCGAGTGCGCGCTCTTGCACAGGGCGTTCTTCGTTGGAACCGATTCACCAGCCCGGCATTAAGCACCCGGGTCCTATCTGAATCACGTACACCTTCGCCTCCTCTCCTGTTTCCTGACGCCTCGTACCTTTTGTTTTGCTGTTTCTTTTTCGCCGTCGTCTCCGTTCCCCGAGTCAGACCCCACAAAAGAAAAGGGGGACTCATCCAGGTAAATCACGACCATTTTTCCATTACTACCGGCAATTTAACAGGGTCCCCTCGCAGTTAGGGAAACCTCGAATGGGCACCTGGCACACGGGGAAACAAACGAACTAAATAATGTTGTTGCAGACGCGCACTGTGATTGTTCGAAACGAATTTTGAGCCAATAAAGCATGCAAATAAGTGCATACTCGGGCCATGACAGCCCGGCATATTAAGCCAATTGTCAAGTTCCTTCTCTTTTCTTTTCTTATAAGGTCCGTAATAGCGGACAGGGACGATTTTGTTCCCCAGTAATAAAATATTTCGTTTTCTTTTTCATCTTTCCTCCTTTCTTTCTTTAGTTATTATTAATTTTGTATCCGTGTTTTCGCGGTTGCTATAAGGTAATTAAAGTGGATATAGCGTTGCAACGGAGTACGATGATGATAGCGACGCAACTGAATCCCAGTGATTAATGGCACGCTACTGAGTACTCCCACAGAAACCAATGCTTTCCACCCACGGGTAAAGCAAACGGGAGGAGGAACACCACGCAATTCCGTGTGTGCCAGAGCAGGACACCGTTACCTCCCCTCCCCACTAATTAATTTGTGCGATTAACAACTTATCCATGAGTGCCTTCCGCAGGAAGCCCGATCATGGGCCGGTCCCGCCGCTCGGGGCGGCAGCGCCAATTAAGGCGCCTGGTCAGAGCACACCACCAGGTGCGGGTGTTTGACCCGCGGGTATTCGAGGTGTACCCCCGTACCGCTCCTGTACCCGAACCCCGGGAGAAACACCACCCGCCACCTCCTCCTCAGCAACCTCAGCCTCCTCCGCCTCAGAAGCTTCCTCCCCCGTACCCTCAGCCCCCTCCTCCTCAGAAGCTTCCTCCCCCGTACCCTCAGCCTCCTCCCCCACAGAAGCTTCCTCCTCCGTACCGTCAGCCTCCTCAGAAGTTTCCTCCCCCACGTATTGAGAACCTCCAACCACCTCCTGTCCGCCCACCCCCGCCTACCTCCGGCGAGCACTGCCCTCAGCGGGTGTGGAGGCCGCGGCCTCCTATTACCCCTCCACCACGGGCACCTCTGGCCGCGATCCCCGGCCCAACACCTTCGCTCGCGTCAAGGGAGCCGGCGATAGCCCGGGCACCGACTGCTCGTCCGCGGGTGGTCTCGGACGTACCACTCCAGCGGAGGATAAAAATTATCCGCCCTCACGTCAACACCCCCAAACGGGGGCGGAATATGCCCTTGCTATAGGCCTCTTCCCCTTTGTATACACCCTGTACATACTCATGTAAATAAAACAACCATACAGACCACACTCACACACACTCATTTATACACCCACACATGCGCACGCTGAAACTTCTAACCCTCTCTCCTCCTTCCCTGCCTTTCCTCTCCTTGTCGGAGATTTTCTGACGTCCCCGCCCAAAAATTAGAAACCGCGGGACGTAACAAATGCGACAAATAAGGGGCTGAAGGTCAAGCTGCCAACCATGAACTTTCCCAATTTCGACGGCAATCCGGAAAAGTGGTTAGAATACCGGGATAGCTTCCAGGGTCTCATAGATGCTAATCGCGATTTAACGAATATTCAACGCATGTATTACCTCAAATCGTCTTTAAAGGGAAAGGCTGCCGAAGTCATACAATCTCTCGAGTCATCCGCTGAAAACTACACGATAGCCTGGAATCTTTTAACAAAAAGATTCGAGGATAAACGCGCAATAGCTAGCAGACATTTGCAACTGTTATTAGACATTCCCGTAATGCAAAAGGAATCGGGAACACAATTGAGACAGACCCTGGATAGCATTTTACGACACACTCGAGCGTTAGAATTCCTCAAGGTCAATACCTGGGATTCAGTAATTAATCATTTAATGATTGCGAAATTGGAGCATCAACACGCCGAGAGTGGCGGACTCACATCAAAGATAAGGACGACATCATGGTTGCCAGCTTGACCGACTTTCTCGAAGAAAGGTGCCTCATAGTTGAACCCGAAATTAGTAAGGCCGGTGCGGATAAAACACAGTTGAACAAAAATACATCGCAGCAAAAACGGCCAGACAAATCAGCGGCATTCACGAATACAACCAAAGAGAATCGACACAGTCGAAAATGTAGTTTTTGCAACGAAGAATCGCATTCAATGTACTCTTGTAATAAATTTAAGGAATTGCCAGTCCAGCAAAGAGTAAGCGCGGTAAATGAGAGAAAGCTCTGTCGTAATTGTCTGCGACCAAACCATTTAGCGAGAGCATGTCAGTCGTCCAATTGCAAACGGTGCAATGCTAGGCACAACACGTTATTGCATCCGAGCGAGCAGACCGAAGGTGTGACCAATACTTGTAAAACAGACGTTAAGGACTTAGGTTCCGGGAACGCGGAGAAACGTGATTCAAGCGTAAATTGTACGAGCGTCGATATCCCTGGGCAATCTAGGGTGTTGTTGTCCACGGCTCGGGTGTGGATTTACGATTCATCTGGTAAGATGCACGAATGTTGATTATTGTTAGACTCTGCATCGCAATCGAATTTCTTAAGCAAGGCAATATGTGAACGACTAAAATTGGCGACGCAGAAGTACAGTTGTTCAGTGGCGGGTTTAGCGTCCACCATTAACGTCACAGAGTCCGCATCTACTGTGATTCAATCAAAGCGTACGGCGTATCATACTAAGATCAATTTTTTAATAATCGAGCGAATAATTGATAGGTTGTCGGATATTGATGTTGCGCACTTACGCTTCCCGGATAATATCAGACTCGCCGATGACAGGTTTTATATGTCCGACAAAATTGACAGCATCTTGGGAACCAGCATTTTCTGGAGTTTGTTGTGCATCGGCCAAGTTCGGCTCGGCAGATTCCAGCCAACACTTCAAAAAACCCATCTTGGATGGATAGTGTCCGGAAGCGTCACCGACCAAGGGCAACATAATTCCTCTGTGTGTTGTTTCTCCTCCGAAGTGCAGCTTCGTGACGGCCTCGAGGGATTCTGGAAGATTAAGGAAGTTGACAAGGCTCCAGTTGCGTCAAAGGATGACGAGGACTGTGAAACACATTTCCGGGAGACACACCAACAAGACGATACAGGACGTTTCATGGTCAGCTTTCCATTCAAGGGTCATACCGATGAGTTAGGAGAATCGTACGACGGTGCTTTGAAGAGATTTTACAAACTAGAGCAACGTTTCAATAGAGATCCACTGAAGGAGGAGTACGTACGCTTCATGGAAGAATACATCACGCTCAACCATATGACGATTGTCAACGAAGGGCAAGACGAATCTTCAATCGCACATTACATTCCACATCACCCAGTCGTGACCACATATAATGACCGACGCAAACTTCGGGTGGTGTTTGATGCTTCTGCCAAAACCTCGTCAGGAAAATCGCTAAATGACATTCTACTAGTGGGCCCCACCATCCAACAAACTTTGTTCTCCATTATATTACGGTTTCGGCAACATCAACGGTTCTAACGGCGGACGTGATAAAAATGTATCGCCAAGTCAACATTACCGAAAGGCAAAGGAATTTACAGCGGATCTTATGGAGATCAAGCAGCGACGGGCCTGTCCAAGCATATACGCTAAATACGGTAACATACGGAATAATAGCGGCACCGTTCATGGTAATTAGAGCATTACAACAGACAGCGCATAACGCACATGTATCTCACCCAGACGCGGCTCGAGTGATCCTACGCGATTTTTACGTCGATGACCTTCTGACCGGTCACGATGACCTAGATCAACTTCGAGTACTCAAGGACGAAATCACGTCGGTGTTGAAATCTGGCGGTTTCGAATTGGCAAAATGGAGGTCCAACGAGCCAACGTTATTTAAGCATGACATCGAAGACGCGGTGAGAATCAGTCCCAGTGAAGAAGAGGTCAAAACCCTTGGCCTGCTTTGGAAACCTAATCGCGACAGTTTACAATATCAAGTTATCATACCCCGTATCAGCTCCAAGGTGACGAAGCGTACAGTGCTATCCGTCATAGCGCAAATATTCGATCCGTTGGGGTTGGTCGGACCGGCCACGGTCAAGGCAAAATTACTTCTACAACGGCTGTGGCAGCGCAACATAGATTGGGACGAATCATTGCCTCAGGATCTACATCATAAATGGATTGCATACGTCGCAGAATTGGAATCCCTCAATGACATCGTCGTCCCTCGAGTCATCATTTGTCCTAACCCTGAACTCGTAGAGTTGCATGGGTTTTCAGATGCATCGGAAGGCGCTTATGGCGCTTGTGTTTATCTGCAATCAATCAGCAGAGAGGGTGTCGTCACCATCCGCTTGATTTGTGCAAAATCTAAAGTGGCCCCACTCAAGACTATCTGCATCCCACGCCTGGAATTATGTGGAGCTTTGTTGCTGTCGAACTTAGCGAAATCGGTGTTACAGGCGCTTACTATACCATTAACGAACAGATATTATTGGTGTGACTCTACAATCGTACTGGCGTGGATCCGTGGCGAGCCTCACCTTCGAAAAACTTTCGTAGCTAATCGACTGACTGAAATTCAGCAGATGACGGATCAAGAACAATGGCATTATGTCAAGTCAGAACATAACCCGGCGGATGTAATTTCGCGGGGAATCAGCCCCAAGCAGCTAAAGGATTTGCATCTTTGGTGACACGGGCCCGAGTGGTTAGTGCATCCCGAAGAATATCTCCGTCAGCCTATTCCAAAGCCCGCCGGTACAGATCTCGAAACCAAACGATGCACGGTGTTGGCCACTCAAACCATTGAGGCAAGCCGGGTTTTAGAGCGGTACTCATCTTTGTCAAGGCTTAAACGAGTTTGCGGTGGAAAATTAATCACAAGTCTGCGAACTCTCGGCGTAACGGTCCGCTGACGGTGAGCGAGCTCGATCAGGCAATGGCCACTATCCTCCGACGAGTACAGTTGGAAGGATTTAGTCGAGAAATACAAGATTTACGTTCTAAGGAGCGAGTTAATCACGATAGCTCGCTGCTCACACTGTGTCCATTCCTAGATGGCGACGGACTTATTCGAGTGGGAGGGCGGTTGCGAAATGCCCAGATTCCTTATTCGCGCCGACACCTAATTATTTTACCGTGTAGACATCACGTTACTACGCTAATTATCCGCGACGCTCATTATCGGTCATTACATTCAGGAGTACAAGCATTGTTATCAAGATTACAAGAATCATTTTGGATCATATCGGCGACGTCAACGTGAAGAAGGTCCTCCACGGATGCATCGTGTGCTTCAGATCGAGACCTACTCCAGCACAACAAGTCATGGGAGACCAACCAGATAAGCGCGTTACCTGTCATCGAGCGTTTTTGAACGTCGGATTAGATTATGGAGGCCCTTTTTACCTCAAATTGAGTCGCAACAAAACATGTAAGGCATATTTTTGCTTATTTATATGCATGAGCACAAAGGCCATGCATTTGGAGTTAACTACAGACTTGACTACTCATGCATTCATTAATGCACTCAAACGTTTTATTGCCCGCCGTGGGATGTGCAGTAACATCTATTCCGACAACGGTACAAATTTTAAAGGCGCAAATCACGAGTTGTGCGAGTTATATAAATTTATAAGCGAACAATCCCATCAGGCAAAAATCAACCACTTCTGTACGGAACAAGCCATTCAATGGCACTTTATTCCTCCGTATTCCCCCCATATGGGCGGGTTATGGGAGGCAGGGATTAAGTCGGTGAAGACACATCTACGCAAAATTCTAAGCGAAGCTCGGTTGACGTACGAAGAAATGTATACGTTAACTCAGGTGGAGGCCGTTCTTAATTCCCGACCACTGACACCTATTTCAAATGATCCCACCGATCTTACATCACTAACCCCCGGGCATTTTTTGATCAGAGAATCACTTACTTGCATACCAGACCGCGATTGGTCGGAAGTACCCACTAACCGACTTACCCGCTTTCAATACATCGCTAAATTAACTCAGCATTTTTGGGCTCGGTGGTCCACAGAGTATTTGTCACATCTTAATCAAAGATACAAGTGGAATAGAGGTGACCGCTCATCAGTGGTCGAGAAAGGAACGATGGTCATTTTACGAGACGAGAATACGCCGCCTATGCAATGGGCATTAGGTAGAATCACAGAGTGCCACGAAGGTCGTGATGGCAAGGTGCGAGTAGTTAGCATTAAAACCGCTCAGGGAATTAAAAAACGGGCAATCGCAAAGATTTGTATCTTACCGATAGAAAGTTAAGTTTCGTTTTTATTTACTCATGTATGTATGTTTTGTTCCATTTAGCATTTATGTCTCATTTATGTATCTCAATGTTATTTACGTTAATTAGTTCAGAGTTATTTTGAAGCCTGTGACTTCAAGGCGGGCGGCATGTTAGGATCGTTGCCAAGATCCTGTTGAGATCATTCTTAAACAGTAGGCGATTACATTATAACCGTTCGGATCATTTTTTGTTTGGCGCGCTTTGCGTCGCGCATGATGGTACGCGCAGCGTGCGCTTTGTTCTTTTGTTTTCATAAGAAGGAAGAAGTAGTGCCGTAAGTTATGGCGGCGAGTGAACAACGGCGTTAGGACGGAAGCACGATTTACACGATTAAGTTTGTCCTGTGTAGAGCCGCTAGAGACAATAAACTGGCATATAAAACAAAATACAAGGTAATCAATTCAATACAATATACAATACAGTTCAGCCAAGGTGGATTGAACAATGCTTTACAGTAAAAAAATTAATTATTTAAGTTATATTATGTACATTTTACTATTTCACACATAAGTGATTATTTTATATCGATAATATTGATAAATTATTTGAATTACCCTTAATTTTCTACACGCGTTGCCATGTGTTATAGTGTGTGTCTCCAAGCATTCTACTAATCAAATTGCGTGCGCAATGGCGTGCGTGGTAACGCGTGGAAGCCAATGGCTTTGCAACTGTTGTAAAATTCGTGAATCCGATTGGCGTATGCTCTTAAATTCACTTAAGATTAAGAGAATATGCCAATCAGATTCACGAATGTTACACCAGTTGCAAAGCAGCTTTTCTGAACGTAGCCATTGATTATTTGAAACAAAAGCGTTTGTCTTCTAGTTAGTTGTATTTACTTTTCGATTCTATATGTTAATAATTTCTTATTTATTACATTTAAAACTTAATTTAGATGAATATAATTACAATCCAGACGGAAAGAGAAAAATGATCGAATAGGCCGGATAGCCGGATTGTAAAAAAGTAACCGGATAGGCCGGATACCGGATAGTTACCGGATATCCGGCACATCCCTAGTAATAACTCCACGTCTATTGAGCTGGCATTATTAATTATTCGTTCTTGAAACCTGTACGGCGATTCTGTGACTTGCTATCGATGGTTTTCGGTATCGTTAACCAACCTATGAAAGCTGTGATTTTAACGTCTTTGCTGTCGCTAGTTAATTTCGATACCGAAAAACATCGATAGTAAGTTACAGAATTCCGGTACTGGTAAAATCATTAATGCCGAAAAATAATGTTCTCAGATGGAGGAAATACACCAGTAATTACGCTTTAAGCAACCTGCAATATGCATATTGCTTTATGATAACGCTCGACCACATGTAAAGGACGAGGGGTGAGGGGCAAGGGACGAGAGCCGAGCGTCGAGTGGCGAACGACGCGGGGCGAGGGGCGAGAGGTGAGGGGCGAGCGGGGAGTGTATACTGAAGCTCGCCGCTCGCTGCGTGACAACTTTTTTTCGGCGCGTCGCTCCACCTCTCGCTATTAGATGATGCCCCACCGTTGCCTGCCGAGTCCAGCCTGCCGCCTTCTACGCTCTCATTCGTTCAGACATGAAAATTAATTTCTCGATAACTATTGCGAATTTTGCAAAATGGTGTAGGACTTTTCTATTCAGTTTGCTCCGGTCTATCTGCCATTTACGGGTGATACGGGTATTAGGACACACCCTGTATAATAAAGAAAATGTTATAAAAGATACACTTTATTAAATTTTTTAAAAATTCAATAGTATTGACAGTTATCAGATTAATTATCACAAAAATCCACCAATCCACCATATCCAATAATACAGGGTTGGCACTGACACTAAATTTGTTGATTCACAATCACAAATGTGTTGATTTTCTGCCTTTCTGAAGCACAATCTTACTACTTTCGTTGCATCCTGTTATTTAAAAGTAATTTTAAAAAGAAATTGAGAATAAGTTTTTAAGTAAAAAGAGTTATAATGAGAAGTTGAAGAAAAGAAAAGTATAAATGAAATTTTATAGAAACAGTTCAAATAATGATGAGTAATAACATTGAAAGAAGATATTATGTTTGAATGTTTTGTGACCGTTTGAATCTGTTAAATCTGTGCAGCGGATAGCCGCGGGAATTCTAGGGTCCGGCGGTGGGTGTCTCGAAAAGAGAGAGAGTCGGTTTTAAATCTTAACTACCGAATTATATTTTAAAACTTAGAATTACATTAACTACTTACAACTAGCTTATCGCTAACTTATAACTATCCTTATAACTACGACCGTTCTGACGGTGGTTCGCTGTATTATAATCTGGCGCGGCAGCGCTTCGAGATCTGTCCGCGCGACGGCGATCGATTGGTCGATATGTCGGCGGCGGCGCGGTACTGGCGGCGTGGTTCGGTGCGTTCGTACGCGGTTCGGTCTGCTCGGACTCGGT